TCCCCCCCATTCACCAGCTGGACCATCAGCAGGACGCGGCACTAGACTGAGTCCACAAAATTTCCCATCATGCAGATCTGTCCAGAGTAGAGAAGTCAGGTTAGAGGTCTGGAGCTGTTAGAGTCGACTACGGGGTGAGAGCAGTCAAACAGCAGCTGAGGTCAGGTGACAGTAGGTGATGGTAGGAGGGACATGGGGCAAAAACCAGCTCCAGTGGAGAGTGGAGGTTCAGGAGGACACTCATGAAGGAACATGTCTTCTGAGTGGATCCTGTGAGGTGGACTGGCCTGGATGGCGATGGTTGTAATTGTGGAGGTGAACTGGATCTGGAGAGATCCTCATAGAACGGGTCTGGAGGACATCAGGTCCAAAGCAGAACATTAGGACGTTTTTTGTAAAAATAGGACGGTAGATTTGAGGTGTGTGCTGCACCAGAACTTCAGCTACAATCATTTCTAATCATAAAGTCGTCTCCTGAAACATGCAGTCAGGTCCTGAAACTGTGTTGGTAGTTCTCTGTCACTAGATGGAGCTAATTGACCAATCTAATAGCTACAACTCAGACAGGTGATTGGGGGGGGGGGCTGAGGGTATAGTGTGTTCATCAAAGAACCATCAGCTCCCAGCAGTAACACAGGAATTAGTCCAGAATCAAAGTGGACTGGAGATTCTGGGCCCTGATCCGGTTTCCTTGTCATGTCAGCTTCTCCTCCCAGAGTCTAGTTGAGAGATGACAGAGGCGTCAAACAGTAAGTGAGAGAGCAGGGTCATTGACACAGACTCACAGGAGAGAGAGAAACCCTGATCAGAGGAACTGGTCCTGAGACAGAGGAGTGAGGGGCAGAAGAGGGACCGGACCCGGACCAGGACCAGGACTAGGGCTGTAGTCATACCAATACAAGTACTTTGACACACAATGTCCCTGACAGTGTCCTTACAACAGCTCATTAACAGGCCAACCATTCTCTCCTCGGCGACAGTTGCAGCTTCAGAGGACTTCAACTCAGTGACAGGAACTAACTGATGAACAGATGTTTACGAAGCTGAAGACAAACAACACATAGAATTTTACCTTGTGGACTTGAGGACATTTATCTCCAGCTGCTCGCCTGTATCCGCTCCGACCTCCCATCATCCTCGGCCGGGCGGTGTCCGGCCACAGTTTGAGCTGTGAAGCAGATATTGTGGCAGAGAAGAGAAGTTTTCAGGCGCCTGTTAACGTGCAATCCTGCGCTTTAATCTCCTTACAGCTAATCAGCCTTGTAATAAGCTGAGAAACCTCCAACCCCCCCCCCCCCCCCCATTCACCAGCTGGACCATCAGCAGGACGCGGCACTAGACTGAGTCCACAAATTTCCCATCATGCAGATCTGTCCAGAGTAGAGTAAGTCAGGTTAGAGGTCTGGAGCTGTTAGAGTGGACTACGGCAGGTGAGAGCAGTCAAACAGCAGCTGAGGTCAGGTGACAGTAGGTGATGGTAGGAGGGACATGGGGCAACAAGAACCAGCTCCAGTGGAGAGTGGAGGTTCAGGAGGACACTCATGAAGGAACATGTCTTCTGAGTGGATCCTGTGAGGTGGACTGGCCTGGATGGCGATGGTTTAATTGTGGAGGTGAAGTCTGGATCTGGCTAAAGAGATCCTCATAGAACGGGTCTGGAGGACATCAGGTCCAACAGAGAACATTAGGACGTTTTTGTAAAAATAGGACCGGAGATTTGAGGTGTGGTGCTGCACCAGAACTTCAGCTACAATCATTTCTAATTCATAAAGTCGTCTCCTGAAACATGCAGTCAGGATCCTGAAACTGTGTTGGTGTAGTTCCTTGCTCTGTCCACTAGATGGAGCTAATTGACCATCTAATGAGCTACAACTCAGACAGGTGATTGGGGGGGGGGCTGAGGTTAATGTGTTCCATCAAAGAACCATCAGCTCCCAGCAGTAACACAGGAATTAGTCCAGAATCAAATGGACTGGAGATTCTGGGCCCTGATCCGGTTTCTGTGTCATGTCAGCTTCTCCTCCCAGAGTCTAGTTGAGAGATGACAGAGGCGTCAAACAGTAAGTGAGAGAGCAGGTCATGACACAGACTCACAGAGAGAGAGAGAAACCCTGATCAGAGGAACTGGTCCTGAGACAGAGGAGTGAGGGGCAGAGAGGGACCCGGACCCGGACCAGGACCAGGACTAGGGCTGTAGTCATACCAATACAAGTACTTTGACACACAATGTCCCTGACAGTGTCCTCACAACAGCTCATACAGCAGCTACACTACAACGTGACCTCTGACCTCTTAGTCGTCATCAGTCCCAGCAGTTGTTCCCAGAAGAAGAATTTTTGAACATCTTTATCTGTTTAACAGATTAAAAATAAATTTAGTCTTTACAGGGACAAATGAGTAAAAGTGTCCTTAAAAAGGGTTTTGACAAAGTTTTAAAATCAGACACTGTCCTGAGGTCCAGGGGGTTCTGGAGGTTCTAGAGATTCTGAGGTTCTGGAGGTTCTGGTCCCAATTCGTTAGGAACAAGGACTGAGGAGCAGGGTGAAGGGCCCCGCCCGGGGATCTGAGGCTGCACTCTGCCTCATAACAAACCAACATGTTCACAATATAGTGCTGTATGTCTGAGATCCAGACTGCTGCTCCTCCATCACATCTTCCTGTGCTGAGCTGATGTTTAGCTCATTAGATGGTCCGTTAGGTTAGTTATACAAATTATGTTGATCATAATTTAATATACAAATAAATGTGTTATTGTTTGCAATATAAATAAAGTTTATCAATATTTTTTATACAAATAAAGCTTATTTATTTGATATTTATCAATGTTATAGTTTTGTGTTTTAGTTCAGGGAGTGTCATAAATGAAGTGAGTGAATTATATTTGGAACTTTTGCTTTTAAATTGCTATAAATAAATATAAATCAAATGAATTAATGTTGGAAATAGACTAGATTAAATAGATAAAATTTCTGTTGATAAACAAATTGATTATTTAAACTGGTTTCAGCTGTAGACAAAAATGAAATGTTAAATTCAAAATGAAATGTGAAAATGTGAATATTTATAATGAACTGGACATTTTCACTCTTTCATTGACCAATTTCTTTATTATTTGAGAAAATAATCATGAATTTGGTATTTTAAATTAAATGTACCCTGTAAATAAATAAAAGTCAAATTAAATCTGGTGTTTAAATGATTTGAAATGATTAAACCAGAGTTATTCTAAAGGACAATGACAGTGATTCAGGACCTTTCTGTATACAGTCTATGTTTAGGACACACTGGATGACTTTGTTATGTATTTTATTGTGAAACTCTCCCGGACAGGAAGTGTTTTAGTGTCACCAGCTTGCTTGGGATGATCCGATCTGGATTCAGCCATATTCCCACCGAGCAGCCACACCGGCAGCCCGCCTCAAACTACCGAAAAACCCTCCGTAATCCTCCAACGCGCTCTCCCGCGGTGTTAACGGACATTTTGATTGACGCCGAACCCGTCCCAGAGCTCCGGGACATGTCACCGAGCTGATACACCGACCCGCGGACATGGAGCAGCGGCGGCCAACCTGAGAGTCGACGGTCTGATCGACATCCCGATCTCCGAGAGGAAAGTCCAGATTTACCGGGATTAAAGCCGATGTGGAGGAGGGACGGACGCGGGCCTGCAGGCGGAACAGCTCACAACACGACGTAGCGACGGTAACCGGCGGAGACACACCGACACACCGACAACCAGCCTGCTCAAAATGTCGGGAATGTTTTCCCGGAGCTAACGAGCTAGCTGAAGCTAGCAAGCTGAGCTCGGCACGACTCGGCAGGAAGCGGAGCCTCGGCGGCGGCTTACACTCGGACTGTGCGGCGGGGGTTGTTGTCCGAGTATCAGCGGGAGCGGCGGGTGATTGTCCCGGGTCAGGATGTCGGCTCAGGTCCGTCTGAAGCGGCTGGAAGAGCTGCTGCTGGAGCAGAAGGCGGCGGGATGTCTGAGTGTGGAAACGCTGCTCGACCTGCTGCTGTGCCTCTACACAGAGTGCTCCCACTCCCCGCTGAAGAGGGAGAAGCACATCACCGACTTCCTGGAGTGGGGTAAGATCCCAGACCCGGTCCTGGACCCAATATTAATCTACAAACACACTTCAGAAGTTCCCCGGACCCTTCAGGGGTCACTGCTGGGGCCGCCAGGTGTCGCCAGGGACAGTAAGGGGGACTCCAGGGAGAATCAGGTGGATTTAAGGGGCCACGAGGGGCTCCAGGCAGGGTGCACGGGTTCTGTAGAGGTTCCTGGATGTTCCAGAGTTTCTTGATAGATGTTCCAGAAACATCAGGGGTCATTGAAAGACCTTGAAAGATGGTCTGATAAACCTTGAGGAGTTCCAGGGGTGGTGGAGAGGTTCTTGGAAGGTTCAGGGAGATCCAAAGACCGTTGACACAGTTTCCATAGGGCCCCACTGATGGTTGGGGTCCCTGGTGGAGTTCTTCAGGGCTCCAGGGAAATTCAAGGCTCCTTGAGAGAAGTTTCATGATGTGTCAGGAAGACTTTTGGAGATCATTGTGGACCTTCCAGGGTCTTTGAACAGGTCTCAGGTAAAAGGGTCTTAGTTCTGTTGTTTACTCATTTCCAGGCTAGTTGGTGGATGCTCCAGGGTTTCAGTGCTTCTTGAAGAAGTTCAGTTTATTCCAGTCTCCTGGGATTCCTCGGATAAAGTGTGTTTAATGATTGTGGGGCTGTGAGGAAGAAGCTGGAACGTGTCAGAACAGAACATACATGAAGCACGCAGGAGCTACCGTCATGTCACATGTCACATGTTAGAGAACACACCAACAGAAGTCGCATCGTCTTCACTATAATCATGTCTGATTCACAGATCAATAGATTGATCAGAACAGACTCTCACCTCGGCCTCTGTGGAATGTGACAGGCTGCAGCAGCACACACTGGCCCACTTTGGCCCAGTTTGGCCCAGTTTGTCCTGGATCAGTCTGTTCCTGGTCTGGCCTGGCCTGGTTTGGTCTGGCCTGGTTACTGCAGCAGTTCATTCTGTGATGTGTGACTCTCATCACTGATACCTGCTGACTGTAAACTGATTATTGATCGTGTGAGTCATCCACCTGCACGTTCTATTAATGCATAGTTTGATCAGAATGATAAGAATATCTGCAGCGATCAATAACATCGAATCAAATGTTCAGTCACGCAGTCAGCCTGTTGTCCAGTTCAAGAGTCCAGAGACTGGGACCGGACTACATGATCAAAGAAGATCTGGTCTGACAGTAGTGAATCAGATCGGACTCAGAAACACGTTCACCTGATCCAGGTTCAGCTCTTAGAACAGGTGACGTGTTTACCTTACAGCAGGTGAGTCAGACCAGTTTACACCAACAACCTTACTGGTTTCAAACCATCACAGTGTTTTCAGTCAGAATCTGTAGAAACTTCAAACCAGCGGCTGCTGTGTCTGACCTGGTGACAGGTGAGTCTGACGGTCACAGAGTCTGCTGTAACACCGGCGGTGGACTGAGGCAGAGCGTTGTTCTTTAACATGTTGGACAGTAGATCACTATTTAAACAAAGGCCTTGTCGTTCCTCCTGTAAATTTTACTCGTCACAGTTGTTCTGTTGACTTTGGGACGTTTCAGTCGTCAGCCATGTTTGTTGGTAATGGCAGCGTTGGTGAGTCATCGCAGGTTTGTTTACGTCTTTGTCGATGGCGTCAGAGAGGAGACAGAGACTGAACAGAGCAGGAATGAAGGACTAGATCAGAACTTAATGAATCCAGGTATTGTACCAACAGGGACCAGGTCCTGAATGGACCAGGCTGTCAGGACCATCTCTAAACCTCACTTCTGTTCTCTCAGACACCAGTTTGAGGGTTTGAAGTGAAACTATTTCAGTCACAGGCTGACCAGTCACAGCTACAGGAAGCTAACTGCAGTGCCAACCCCCTCACAACACTAGCTGCTGCTAAGCTAACCTCAGGATCTTGTTTGTTGTTGTAGTCGGGTGTGGGCTGTGAATCTATGAACTTGGGGTCTCAGTCCTGCTGTCGTCTGTACAGCTTGTGCTTTAGTTTCCATAGTAACTGAACCTCGTTGGGTTTTAGACTGTTAGGCTACGTACACACGCATTTAAACGCATTTTCTTGCTACTTTTTCATCTCCTGTCCATGAGACTCCAGCATTTTTCCAGCACAGAAAACGGGAACACGGCGAAACGCTGCTGGTCCAGCTTTATTGTGAAAACTCTGGGGTTGTGTTTTATTCTGAAAACTCCTGGGTTGTGTTTTATTTAGAAAACTCTGGGGTTGTGTTGTAGTCTGGACAGAAACGGAGACCTCTGTAAATGCTGAGGTCACAGCCACAGTCTCTCCTGATTGGCTCTCATCAGCCTGGACTACCAGTGGTGAATACAACATGATAATGAAGGACAGTGTTACTGACCTTGTTGTCTTTGCTAGCAGCTGTTGTTCACTTACATTCTCTGTTTTAATGCTACAACTGTCTCTGCTGCTCCTCCTTCAGAGGATTTACTGCAGAGGAGACAATCTACTTCCTGTTTACACCGGCTCGCACACGCTCAGTGAATGTGACTGCTCAGGTGTGTGTATGTTTTCAAGTGTGATGGACAAAGATTGTTTCTGAAACGGAACTAGAATCGACTGTTAAAATGAAACGGTAGTGTGGACGTAGCGTTCGTCACCTTCAATTTTCTGACCAAACAACTAATCAATTAATCGAGAAGCTAATCACTGGATTGATCAAGTTTCAGCCCTGGCTGTTCACATTGTACAGGTGTGTGGTCCTGGACTGACTGATCCTGGTTTTTATTGATCCAGATCTCATGTTAATGCCAGCTGTAAGTGGGGGACGTGAGGAGGGTTCAGAGGTGTTCGGGGGGTTTCAAGGTGTCCTGTAAAAGGTCAGAGGGCTTCAGATGAAGTCGGGAGTCTGTCTGGGTTTCCTCCTTCAGGTTCAGTTCATCAGGTCAGCCTCTCGGCAGGAACTGAAGCTGGACTTGAATGTAACTAGGAAGCTGCTTCTCTGATGTGGCTTTACTGTGGTCTCTGATCTGGTTTCAGATCAGGCAGCTTCTGAGGTTTGACGTGTTGTGACAGGAGTCAAACGTACAGCTCATTAGTCCATCAACAGACAATCAATCGACTGATTTGATAATCAATAATCATTTTAGTCATTTTCAAGCAACAATTACAAGTGTGTGAGAACACAGCACAGTGCAGGTTCAGATGACTGATGGCTCTCAGCGACAGACAGGATCACCTCTGAATGTGGACGGAGTGATGGGATCTCAGTGCGTCAGAGGTGTTCACACCTGTTTTTAGATTACCGGAGATGGATGTTAATGACAGGTCTGAAGAGGGCCTGTGTGTGTGTGTGTGTGTGTGTGTGACCCAGATAAAAATGAGCCCAGAGCAGATAAATATTGGATGAATGAAGAGCTGACAGTCTGCTGGGTCCTACTGCCCCCAATAATATTTCTATCTTAATTTTTGTCTCTAATTTATAATTTCATCTATAATATTTCTACACAGTCTATATCGCTATAATATCTTAATATCTCTGTAATATCTTTATATTTCTGTAATATCTTTGTAATATCTCTATTATATCTTTATATTTCTATAATTACTCCATAATATCTCTATAATTTTTCAATGAAATCTCTACAATATTTCTATATTGTTACAATATTTCTATATATATTTTCTGTCATCTCTGTTATCTCTGTTATAGCTCTAATATCGTTATTATAGCTCTATCATATCTCCATGATAACTTAATAATATCTCTTTTTCTAACGGTGTATTTGTGACTCTCTCCTCAGTTAAACCCTTCACCACCACAGTGAAGGACATGCGACTGCACAGGGATGACTTTGAAATGTTGAAGGTGATTGGACGAGGAGCTTTTGGAGAGGTAAGACTTCCTGTTGACCTCTGACCCCCACCACCTACACCTGTGTTCAGTCTCAGGTGGACATGGTTCTGTAGGCTCAAACACACGTAGCTCACTACATTAAATATCATAGTAAATGTCGTCTGGAGGACAGTGACATCACAGGAACCAAAAACAGTCTGAAGTCCACCGGCCCTGTGACGTCTCAGGTGATCTTGAGCAACATGGCGGCGCCCTGTTAGAAAAGATGGAACAGAGCTGTTTGTCATTGTTGGTTCGAGTGGAAATCCCTGCTTCAGATCCACTTTAAAGGACCAGTGTGCCCCCCCACCCCCCACCCCTCCTCTCCCAGTGTGTCGGCCTGGTGTCATTAGATACAGTAGTTACTGTGTGTACGTGCTGATCTGGAGCATTTGGGTCTAAATAAATAATTTCATTTAAAATATGGATTTTATTCATAGATATTATTGATGTTAGAGGTCTCGTCAACCAGCTGCAACACTTCCTGAAAAAACAGTCTCCTCAGTAAAGACAGGAAGTTTTCCTGAACACAGCCCAGCTTCCAGTAAAACACAGGAAGTGAAGCGTGAACAGGAAGCTCTGATTAACAGACTCTTCCTCCAGACGAGAGGACGACACGTAATCCACTGAGACCAACTGAATCTGTTTCTACTCTGCAGCCTTAACATGGTGGATTGTCATATATCAGTCTGATGTGGACCAGCTGTTAGGATCAGTGTGTGTTGTATTCAGACGTGGGGCCGTCAGCATCATCAAGACAAGCTGAAGAGGTCTTGCTCTGGCTGTTTTCTGAGGAAGCTTTAGTTCAGCCTAGTGTCCCAGAATGCATTTCACCTCAGTTAGTGGCAATGGTGGAGGTTGTGAACGAGTCATGGTTTAGATTTTAATTTGTGCTCAGTTTATTAAAATCATGTCAGAGACGTCAGGGCCGACTGCTCTCAGAGGAGCTCTCAGTCAGGTCTCATGGTCTTCCTCCTGTGGAGAGCAGCTTCCTGTCTTGTTCTCCACATGTTCTCCTCATGTTCTCCATGGTCTGAGCTCTGACTGGGTCTGTTAACGACCTCCTCTTCTTATTCTTCTGTGGTTGAATGGCAGCGACTGGATCATGTCCAGCAGCTGTTTGTCTCCATCAGTCAACTCATGTTGTCAGAGAAGGGAACTGGACTTGAGTCCGGTTCACTCTGGACCTGAACCAGGTGTTTAGTCCAGTCCGTGTCAGTCTGCTAGCTCCTGTCAATCATTAACACGTCTCCACCCTCAGTCTGATAACAGCTGCAGTTAAAGTCCACATGTGGAGGTGGGGACCACATTCAACACTGAATCTGAATCCAGTTGTGAACCTTGATCCAGTCTCTGAACCTTGATCTGTTCTCTGAACCTTTGGTAAAACTGGATCTTTAACAATCAAACTGTGTGATTGCTGCAGTGGGGAGATGTCTTTAAAAAGTGTGTTTTAACCAGAGCTTGGTGAAGCAGGAGAAGCCCAGTCTGAGGAGTGAGGTCTATGGTCTGAGGTCAGATGACTGAGGACTGAGGTCAGATGACTGAGGTCTGAGGTCAGATGACTGAGGTCAGATGATTGAGGTCTGAGGTCAGAGGAGTGAGGACTGAGGTCAGATGATTGAGGTCTGAGGATTGAGGTCACATGACTGAGGACTGAGGTCAGATGACTGAGGTCAGATGACTGAGGTCTGAGGTCAGATGACTGAGGTCTGAGGTCAGATGATTGAGGTCTGAGGACTGAGGTCTGAGGACTGAGGTCTGAGGACTGAGGTCTGAGGCCTGAGGTCTGGGTGTTACTGAGTCTTGGTCCTGACTCTTCAGTCTAGGGTTGTTACGACGACGGTCCTCACAAGAACAGAAACTCAGAGTGGTGTGTGTGTGTTTGTGTCTCTATAAGGAGACAAAGAGATTGTTTTCCTAATGAGGTCACAGTGGAGCAGTGTGTGTTCACTGTCTGCTGCTCCACAACTGACTTCACTGTTAGCTTAGCTTAGCTTAGTTTAGCAGAGCTGAACTGCAGCAGAGCAGTGCAGAGACACAGAGTGGGGGTGTGGGTCAACACCCCCTCCTTCTAGAACTCACTGTTATCTTAACGGTTTCCTGTGGAGGGACTGGGTCTCTGACTGACTGATTAACTGACTGACTGACTGATTAACTGACTGACTGACTGACTGATTAACTAACTGACTGACTGATTAACTAACTGACTGTCTGACTGACTGACTGATTAACTGACTGACTGACTGACTGATTAACTAACTGACTGTCTGACTGACTGATTAACTAACTGACTGACTGACTGACTGTCTGACTGATTAACTAACTGACTGACTGATTAACTAACTGACTGACTGATTGACTGACTGACTGACTGTCTGACTGATTAACTAACTGACTGACTGACTAACTGACTGACTGACTGACACCATGTCAAACAGGCCTTTGAAGAGATGAGGACTGAATGTCCTCACTGTTTGTCACTGATGCTTTTCTTTTCACTAACTGTGTGTGTGTGTGTGTGTGTGTGTGTGTTTGTGTGTGTGTGTGTGTGTGTGTGTGTGTGTGTGTTTGTGTGTGTGTACATTGTCCACATACCAGAGGAAAGGTGTGTCAGAGCCACACCTGCTTGCTGCCTCAGGATATAAACACACACACACTTGGGGTTTGTGTTACTATACTTGTGAGGACCGTCCTCAGTGTGGGACTCAGCCTGGTCCTCACAAACACACACAGGACCAGACTGTTCTGCTTTAGTTCAGATCAGCCTGTCAGTGAGTTCAGGTCCAGGTCCAGGTGGTACTGAGCTTTGATACGGTACCCAGTCCTAACCATCACCTGGGTGGCATCACACAGGTATACAGGTGAAACTCAAAAATTAGAATATCGTGCAAAAGTTCATTCAAGTCAGCAATTCAACTTCAAATGTGAAACTAACATGTGATATAAAACTCAGTACATGCAAAGTGAAATATGCCAAGGCTTTATTTGTATAATCTTGATGATCATGGCTTACAGTTTTTGAAAACCCCAAATTCCAAATCTCAGAAAAATTAGAATATTTGGAAAAGGTTCAATACTATAGGCTCAAAGTGTCACACGCTCATCAGCTAATTAATCCAAAACACCTGTGAAGGGTTCCTGAGTCTTTAAATGGTCTCACAGTCTGGTTCAGTAGAATTCACAATCATGGGGAAGACTGCTGACCTGACAGTTGTGGCAGAAAACCATCATTGACACCCTCCACAAGGAGGGAAAGCCTCAAAAGGTAATTGCAAAAGAAGTTGGATGTTCTCAAAGTGCTGTATCAAAGCACATTAATAGAAAGTTAGCTGGAAGGAAAAGTGTGGAAGAAAAAGTGCACAAGCCGCAGGGATGACCGGAGTCTGGAGAGGATTGTCAGGAAAAGGCCATTTAAAAGTGTGGGGGAACTTCACCAAGGAGTGGACCGAGGCTGCGGAGTTAGTACAATCAAGAGCCACCACACACAGACGGATCCTGCAAATGGGCTTCAAATGTCGTATTCCTCTGATCAAGCCGCTCCTAACCAACAAACAACGTCAGAAGCGCTCTTACCTGGGCTAAAGACAAAAGAACTGGTCTTTGCTCAGTGTGGTCCAAAGTCCTCTTTTCCGATGAGAGCAAATTTGCATCTCATTTGGAAACCAAGGTTCCAGAGTCTGGAGGAAGAATGGAGATGCACACAATCCAAGATGCATGAAGTTCCAGTGTGAAGTTTCCTTAGTCTGTGTTGGTTTGGGGAGCCATGTCATCTGCTGGTGTTGGTCCACTGTGCTTTATTGAGTCCAGAGTCAACGCAGCTGTCTATCAGGAGATTTTAGAACACTTCATGGTTCCTTCAGCAGACAAGCTTTATGGAGATGCTGACTTTCATCTTCCAACAAGGATATGGCACCTGCCCACACTGCCAAAAGAGTACCAAAACCTGGTTAAATAAACCATCAGATAACGGTGCTGGATTGGCCAGCAAACTCGCCAGACCTGAACCCCATAGAGAATTTATGGGCATTGCCAAGAGAAAGATGAGAGACATGAGACCCGACAACAATGCAGCAGAGCTGAAGACCGCTATCAAAGCATCCTGGTCTTCCATAACACCTAGCAGTGCCACAGGCTGATAGCATCCATGCCACGCCGCATAGGAGGCAGTAATTCAAGCAAAAAGGGGCCCAAACCAAGTACTAAGTACATATGCAAGATTAAACCTTTTCAGAGGGGCCAATATTTCTCTGTTTAAAATCCTCTGTCTATTATATTGTATGTGATTTTCTAATTTTTTGATTTTCAATTTGAGGGGTTTCATAAGTTGTAAGCCATAATAATCAAAATTATATCAAATGAAGGCTTGAAATATCTTGAGTTGCATGTTATGAACCTATGTCATACATTAGTTTCACCTTGTAAATCTAATTGCTGGAATAAACGAACCTTTGCACGATATTCTAATTTTTTGAGTTTCACCTGTATAACAGAGGAGCGCCAGAGTGTGACAGAGCAGCTGAGGAGTTGGTTTCTGTCGGCCAATCAGATGCCTGGAAACTCACATACCTCTTAGAGTCATGTAACAAAACACATCAACAACAACAAAACAAAGTAAGATTTGTGACACGGTTTGTAAACAGAGGACAGCATTATGGGTAAAGAGTAGCAGAAAGACACAATTCACGACTTCCAGTCAGGACTTTCAGAATAAAATCAGATCGTGGTTCAGATTGTGGATCGTCATGTGATCTTTTGGCAGCATGGCCCCCACCCCTAGTTTGAACCTCAGTTGAGCTGGTTCAGGGCAGAGGGAAGTAAATGAAGACAAAGACACCCTGTCTGTCCATCTCTTTGTCCAGGGTTAATGTCTCTCTACCCCTCTCCCTCTCTCTGTCTCTCACCCCTCTCTCTCAGGTTGCCGTGGTGAAGATGAAGCACACAGAGAGAGTTTATGCCATGAAGATCCTCAACAAGTGGGAGATGTTAAAGAGAGCCGAGGTGATTTAACACACAGAATGTGACCGCTGTTAGCGTGTTGTATTTAACATGTAGAATGTGACTGCTGTTAGCGTGTTGTATTTAACATGTAGAATGTGACTGCTGTTAGCGTGTTGTATTTAACATGTATTAAACATGTCCTCTGTGCAGACGGCGTGTTTCCGTGAGGAACGTGACGTCCTGGTGAAAGGAGACAGTCAGTGGATCACAACTCTGCACTACGCCTTCCAAGATGACAACTACCTGGTTAGTACTACTAGTACTGCACTTTAACTGTCCTTAGTACTACTAGTACTGCTGTTATTGCCGCTAGTACTGCTTACTGATTATGTATTTTGATGGATTGTACTGCAGTACCTGGTGATGGATTACTACGTGGGCGGGGACCTGCTGACTCTGCTCAGTAAGTTCGAGGATCGTCTTCCAGAGGACATGTCCAAGTTCTACGTCGCTGAGATGGTGCTGGCCATCCACTCCATCCACCAGCAGCACTACATCCACAGGTAATGGTCATACTGGTCATACTGGTCATACTGGTTCTACTGGTTACACTGGTCGTACTGGTCGTACTGGTGATCTCTGAGATGTCCAGTGTCATCCCAGGAGAACAGTCTGATCTCTGCAGCAGCAGCAGCAGCTCTGCCTCTGTTGGAGACCAGACCTCAGTCAACATGAACAGAGCCCCACAGGAAACTGCATTAGATTTTTAACAGGTCACAGGTCAAAGGTCAGGTTCACTGTCAGGTGAAGTGTCAGGTACAGGTGTGTTGAGCTGAGACCTCTGCTGGTCCGGCTGCCGAATCCTGGACTTGGCCTACTCTGTACTGTGTGTGTGTGTGTGTGTGTGTGTGTGTGTGTGTGTGTGTGTGTGTGTGTGTGTGTGTGTGTGTGTGTGTGTGTGTGAGAGTCAGGGGAAACTGTCTCTTCCTGGCAGCAGTGTCCTCTGGGAAATGTAGTTATATCCTGCCCCGCCTACTTCCTTCCTGTACAGAATCAGGAACTCGGCTGCGTTCCATTCCTGTGTGTCAGCCCCTCCCCCTGCTAGTGGAGAGGTGGTCCTCAGACCTGGTCCAGCCGTCTCCATGGAGACAGAGGTTTCTGAATTGATTACATGTCTAACATGAGCAACATGTCAGAGCAAAGCATGATGGGAATCAAAGGGGCTCAGTGGGATCACCAGGGAGCTGTCTGTCTGTGACCTAACAAACCTGGACCAGTTTAAGACCTGATCGCAGACGTTGTGTCTTTTACAGAGACATCAAACCAGACAACGTCCTGCTGGACGTCAATGGTCACATCCGCCTGGCAGACTTCGGATCCTGTCTCCGCATGATGGAGGACGGCACGGTAACAAAGTCTCTCTCTGTCCACTGTGTCAGTAAAGTGAAGCAGGTTCACAGTGTGAACTGAGTCCATGTCCAGGGTCTGGGGATAGGGGTCTCATCTGTTGGGTTCAGTGTGTTTTTAACTGGGATCAGTTTGAGTCCAGTTCAGTTGGTCCAGTGCGCCAGGGACACTGACGGACTCGTCCTGTGGTGCTGGTCTCGGTGCAGGTGCAGTCCTCGGTGGCTGTGGGTACTCCGGACTACATCTCCCCAGAGATCCTACAGGCGATGGAGGACGGGATGGGCCGCTACGGACCGGAGTGTGACTGGTGGTCTCTGGGGGTCTGCATGTACGAGATGCTGTACGGAGAGACGCCGTTCTATGCTGAGTCTCTGGTGGAGACCTACGGCAAGATCATGAACCACGAGGTGAGACCACGTTCTGTCCCTGAGTGGGCTTAATCCGGTTTCATCTGAAAACCTCATGATCCTGTAGGTGAGCCCTCCAGCTGTGGCAGAGCATGGACCCACAATAGACCAGGTACGTGGACTGAGTCTGTCTGTGTCGTCCTCTTCCTCTGCTGCTGTTTCCAGGTTACTGTTTGTCTCCAGACTCTCGTCCTACTTCCTCTTTTCTAAATCTGAGCTTGTCCCTCGGTGGACGGACGCCGGCGTCCTGCTCTCATTAAACTCATCTCTCCCTCGTCCTTCCTCCGTCCTCTTTACTCCACTTTCCCTCACTTCTCCTGTTTGTCTCCAGGAGCGTTTCCAGTTCCCCTCCCATGTGACTGACGTCTCAGAGGATGCCAAAGACCTGATCCAGCGCCTGCTTTGCTCCAGAGAACGTCGGCTTGGTTTAAACGGGATCTCCGACTTCAAGAGCCACCCGTTCTTCACCGGGATCGACTGGGACAACATCCGGTCCGCCGAGGCCCCATACATCCCCGACGTGTCCTCGCCCACCGACACCTCCAACTTTGACGTGGACGACGACGTCCTTAAGAACCCGGTGAGGAGACAAAAACACAAACCCTTCTGTACACCACTCACATCATACCAGTGTTCTCAGTACACCCCAGTTCGAGGACTGTTTCTGGTCCTGTGTCCTGGTGGAAGACCCTGACCCGTCTAGTCTTAGTCCAGCTCCAGAGACCTTAATGACCCAGGACCTTGTTTCCCTGCAGGACATTGGTCCTCCAGTCTCTCACACTGGTTTCACTGGTCAGCACCTCCCCTTCGTTGGCTTCACCTACACCACCGACAGCTGCTTCTCCGACTGCAGCTCCGTCTGCCGAGCAGGGCTCCTTAGCCGCCAGGAGGAGGAGGGGGGGGGGGGGGGAGGAGAAGGAGGGGGGCAGGAGGTGGAGGCCTTCGAAAGGAGGATCCGTCGACTGGAGCAGGAGAAACAGGAGCTGAACCGCAGACTACAGGGTGAGACAGACATGTCTGTATGAACCAGAGTTTACTAAGGTCCTCCTCCTGACCCCTGACCCCTGACCTCTGTGTGCTCCTGTAGAGTCCACTCAGGCCCTGCAGGCTCCAGCTCGAGGAGGAACTCTGACTCGGGACAAAGAGATCAAGAAGCTGAACGAGGAGATCGAACGACTAAAGAAGAAGCTGGCAGGTCAGAGGTCACCTGAGGTCGACCTGTCAGCTGATACTGCAGTACCAGTTGTATACATGTGTTCACATTCTGAGTTGTCGTGGTAACACCAGTAACAATACATATGTAGTACTGTTGCTTCTAATACTTGTATCAGTTGCAGTATTCAGGTTTCTAAGCCCCGCCCCTTTGGTGTGATAGACTCTGATAGGCTGGAGCACCAGCTGGAGGAGGCGGTCACACTCAGACAAGACTACGAGAGCTCCGCCTCCAAACTGAAGACCCTGGAGAAGCAGGTGAAGACCCTGAGACAGGAGAAAGACGACGTCCACAAGGTAAGCACTGATGCACACAGACACACCTGGACAGACAGGTGAAGACGCTGAGACAGGTCCAGTCTGACGTCTCCTCCTCTCCTCTCTGAGCAGCAGCTGTCCGACTCTCTGGAGCGCCTGAGGAGTCAGACCAAGGAGCTGAAGGAGGCGCACTCCCAGAGGAAGCTGGCCCTGCAGGAGTTCTCCGAGCTGTCGGAGAGGATGGCCGAGCTGCGCTCCTTCAAACAGCGTCTGTCCCGTCAGCTCCGAGACAAGGAGGAGGAGACGGACGCGCTGCTGCAGAAGATGGACGCCATGAGACAGGAGATCCGCAAGACAGAGAAGAACCGCAAGGAGGTGAGGGAGTCCTAGTAGGAGTACTAGTAGGAGTATCCAACCAACCAATTAGTTAAATAAGGGACATTAGTTTCTGCTAACATCCATTAACTGATGAAAACCATGACAGGAAGTTGAAATCTAGAAAGGACATGAGTCACCTGTGTAAAACTCCAGCAGAGGGAGCTGGTTCAGTTCTAGGAGGAACACATGATGCAGAGGAGCCATGTGGGACTTGTGGGAACCAGTATTTATGTGCTGCAGTTCTCCCTGTTCACCACTGGAGGGCGACAAACACCGTCAGATAAGTGGCGGCACACAGTAGGAGTTCAGGTCCTCATGCTGAATCTGTCCCGCTCCCCCAGAGGGAGACTGAGAGGTGTAGTTCTACTATATCACCACTGGGGGCACCACATTCACTGAGGTCGTATCACCAGCTGGATTCTTCCTAACATGATGTTGTCAGTCACTGCCTGTGTCTTTGGAGTCTTACAGGAGCAGGAAGGTGGGGAGACCTTCAGAATAAAAGACTTGTGTCTATGTGTGTCTCAGCTTGAGGCTCAGCTGGATGATGCGAAGGCGGAGGCATCGAAGGAGAGGAAGCTGAGGGAGCACAGTGAGGTTTACTCCAAACAACTGGAGACGGAGCTGGAGAGCCTAAAGGTCAGAGGTTACACAGAAAAACTGCCCTTTCTAGTCTTCACACAGATAGACTAAGAAACTCACACCCAACAGATGCAAGGGGGTCATTATGGTTCTGGTTCTAGTCCCAGTCTCAGCAGGGTAGGGGAGCAGCTGCGCGAGGGGCGGAGTCTCAACAGGAGCTGTCCCGTCTGAAGGCGGAGCTTGATAAGAAGGTCCTTTTCTATGAGGAGGAGCTGTTGAGGAGAGACTCGGCCCACTCCTCCGAGATCAAGAACCTCCGCAAAGACCTGCACGAGTCCGAAGGAGCGCAGCTCGCCGCCAACAAGGAGCTGCTGCAGCTCCGAGACAAGCTAGACAAGGCCAAGAGGGACAGGTAAGTCCTGAACCAGATAAACTAGAGGGACAGGTGAGTCCTGAACCAGGTTTCTGTGTGTCCCCCTGCAGACAGACCGAGATGGATGAAGTTGTCGCAGCTCTGAAGGAGAAAAACGAACGAGAGAAAAACCTGCTGACAGAGGAAAACCGTAAACTGACGGCAGAGACCGACAAGGTGACAAAGCAGCACTGCACCTGTTACTATAGTAATGCTACTCTTACCGTAGTAACACTACACAACCTCTGTACATGACACTGCTGCAGGTTAACGTAGGAACGGTTCTCTCTCTCTGTCAGCTGTGCTCATTCGTCGACAAGCTGACGGCCCAGAACCGTCAGCTGGAGGACGACCTCCAGGACCTGTCGTCTAAGAAGGAGAGCGTGGCTCACTGGGAGGCCCAGATCGCAGAGATCATCCAGTGGTGAGTCGGACCACCCCAAACAGCACGTCTATGGTCAACCACCGGGGAGAGCTTTGTGCGCATCATCTGTGATTGTTGTGTTCAGGGTGAGCGATGAGAAGGACGCTCGAGGTTACCTTCAGGCTCTGGCCACCAAGATGACGGAGGAGCTGGAGACGCTGCGCAGCTCCAGCCTGGGAACCAGACCTCTGGTAACACACACAAACACACATACAGAACCAGTATGGAACCAGTTCAGGACCCAGTGTCACTACCAGAGGTGACGTTGGGAAAGAAGAGAGTCACATGACTCATTTTCTGTTTCCTGGTTTGAACCTGATCATTTGATTACTGTCCATAATGATGGGTTAGGCTTTTATTGTGAAAGAGATGGTGGAAGTCTAGGGTGTGTTTACCTGTGTGTGTGTGTGTGTGTGTGTGTGTGTGTGTGTGTGTGTGTGTGTGTGTGTGTGTGTTACCTGTGTGCTGATTGTTCTTTTAACTTGTTACCTTAGCCTGAGTCGGGAGTGGCCATGCCTCCCAGGAAGCCCTGGCCTCCTATTGGTGGAGACAGGAGGGTGAGTGCGTCAGTCACCACTTCCAGCCAACCAGGATTCACTCTAACTTAGTTTAAGAAACTTGCATGGCTACTGGCCCGCATGTCTGTCACTCATCCTCAGCGCAAGTGGTCCATGGATGCAGGGGGAGGGTGGGATCCAGGTTCAATGGAGGTCCCTTGAAGAATCGTGATGGGAATCGATAAGATTGTATCGATACCAGTGCCATTATCGATTCTGCTTATTGATCGGCTTGATCTCAGGCCTGGGCTGATGTGTCGGTTTTCATAGTTCTGCACAGTCCGACCGTCATGTCACTGCTGTCCTTACGATGTATTGTAGCTTGGCATGTGACGAACAAACTACTGTTCAGTGGCAGCATCACAATACAATTAACTAATGTCCCCTAAACGCCTCACCTGAAGGCTGAGTGGTATCTACCTGGTGGTCCGTGTAGAGCCGGCTGATGTTACTCCAACATATTTACCTGTGTGAGGGTAGTGCTGCTCGGGGAAGTGGGGGCACTTGTCCCCTGGAAGCTTGCCACACGTAAGAGGTCCAGGGATGTAGTTTATTATTTGTAGGTTATTCCTCAGCTGGTAGAAACGGGAGCAAACCAAGGTGACTCAAAATCCATATAAGGTCCTGGAGGACTTCCAGAGTCGTTGAACCTGTTCTTTTTGAGGTTTGTATTGAATGCAAAGGGCATGAAGTGGACCGGGGCAGTGAAGGTTTTCCAGGGGTCTTGAAAGGAATTTCAGGTAGTTCCAAATTTCTGTGGAGTGATCCAGGGACCGTGTAGGTGTCCCAGTATTCCTTGAAGCGGGTTTTTGAGTTGGTTCTTAGCAGTATTCAAATGGTCTATTATTGTGTTCAAGGGCCCAAATGTTTCAGGGGCGATGAAGGAGTGAAGTGGTCTTGTGTTGTCGTAAAGGGGATGTGAAGGGAACTTGAAGCAGGTCGTGGGTAGAGACAGGGTTTACAGGACCTGGCAGTCCTGGAGGTCTCTGGGTTCACCTTGAGGGAGGCTTTCCAGGATCGGGAGAAACATAACATGATACCACGCCACCCGGCAGCAACATCGTTCATCAGATCACACAGGATCAGATTCCATGGTCACATGACTCTGTGTTTGGGCTGCTCTGATTGGCTGGCTGCTCCATCTGTTACTGTCTATAAGTGGACAGTTAATAATCAGTGTTGTTGTTATGGTGACCTGCAGTCTGAGGCGGGCTGGGCTGTGACACAGAGTAGTAGTTTACCAGGGCTTGATGGTGTGCCCCCCCCCCCCTCCAGGACCCCCTGTGGAAGGTGCGCCGCAGTCAGAAGTTGGACATGTCGGCTCGTCTGGAGCTGCAGTCGGCTCTGGACGCTGAGATCAGAGCCAAGCAGCTGGTTCAGGAGGAGCTGCGCAAAGTCAAGGCTGCCAACATCAACCTGGAGAGGTCAGAGGTCACACACAGACAGACTGTTTCCCTTTACTTGTCTCCCGTCTCCCCTGTCTCACCTGTCTCACCTGTCTGCAGTAAGCTGAAGGACTCAGAGGAGAGGAGTAGGGAGATGGGGGAGCAGATGGAGAATCTGAAGAAGGAGATGGAGGAGAGTCGCTCCCGCTCTGACAAAGGTGAGACTACCTGGTAACACCTCCCACCCTCTGATACTCACTGCAGCACCAAATGTGGATTCATCTGTCGCTGAAAATAGTCCCCAACAAATGCCCTGTCTCCTCCTCCAGTACAGTATGTATCTGTGAGGTGTGACTTCTCCAGCAGAAACCTGAGCTCAGAGCCACAGACAGCAACAATAAAAACCAGACTGACTCAGCAGGATTCATTTTTATTCAACAAAAGTTACCACATATTCAAATATGAGACAACAGCTTCAAAACAATTCATAGATTATTTATAAAAAGGAAGAGCAATGATCTTAAAACAGATTTCACAGGTTTTAGGTTTTGACTTTTCATGATCTTTGAAGACAATAAGAAAATCTAGAAAACGGTGGTTCTGTATTTGATCTTTCTATCTGCAGGTCTGAAGCTCCCTGACTTCCAGGACTCCATCTTTGAATATTTCAACACCTCACCACTGGCTCCAGACCTCACCTTCAGAGTGAGTCACCTGAGTGTTTATTATTATCATGGTTATAGTGATGAATGTATTTCTGGGGGGATGCTCAAAAACTCGTGAGAATCATCACGTCAGTTTTCATCATGGACATAATACATGTTTGTCTTTTCACTTGATAGGGTTAGGGAAGTCAGCCATTTTGGATTTGGTGTCAATTTTCATTTTACGAACACATTATTGATGATGCACAAAAAGTACACTTTGCCCCCATGTTGAGCTCTACAGGGCTCATGAAATGTTGCACATGTATCAGTGACGTAACTCCATATCTGACGTGGGTACTGAACTTGGTGGAGGGGTGGAGTTATGGTGCATGTTGTTTGATGCTGACCTGTTTACTTTTTAAAGATCCTCAAATGAAACAAAGTCTGAGGAGACACCAGTTTGTGACTCCAGACCAGGACCTGGACCAGAGACTGGTCTCACCTCAGACCTCGTTTTGTTGAAGCCTTTATTAAATGTGTGATGTGTTCAGAGTTTGACCAATCACAGTGATGAACCCAAAACAAACTGAGCACTGGGTCGCATGATGATGATGTCATTCAGGTGTCTCAGGTGTAAAAGTTGTTTGTTTCTCTCTGTGACATCGAGGTATCAGTTGGCTCCGCCTCCTCGCTGCTTGCTCTCTTGGAGGAAGTAAGTTCACCACATGCTAACCCACAATCCTCTGCAGCAGCTAGTCATAGCTGTTAGCGTGTTGCTAATAGTTGGCTGTTGGTCATAGACTCTAGACTTCGGCGAGGTGACATAGAGTAGTGACACATGACACAACCATAACAGGACCTCATGACCCCACGATTCTGGCCTGCTTCACTGTCAAACTGTGTACTCATATTTATATATACTACACGCAAAAGCCCCACCCACATTGAGAGATCCCGCCCCTCACTCACCGCCCTGCGGCCGTAGACTCGTTAGCATTGAGCATGTGATAGTTCAACCTGTCAGTCACTGACTCTTCACTCATCCAGCTCTACAGCAGTACTGCAGTACAAGTACTACAGTTCTACTACAGCAGTACTACAGTACTACTGTATCAGTACTGCTACAGTGATCCTCCTCACTCACCTCAGAGTTGTATGTATCTATGATAAATAATTAACATATATAATTTCTGACATCTAAATAGAATATTTTAATTTGATTTGAATAAAGTTATACTCTTTGAATGTGGTCTGTTGTTAATGACCCAGTGTGAACATCACAGTGAGATGGTTTGGGCTCAACTCGTCCTGTGACATCAGTATCAGTGACGTGTTCCTCTACAGTTTTCAGTCATCAGTAACATCTGCTGCTGCAGTATTGATAATTGTTGTTATCGATCATTTTGTCCATTGTCTTTTTGGATTTGTTTGTGATCGTCATCATTTATTCTCTGATGGCGTGTTCATGGATCATTAAACACACAGCTGGATGTTTCCCGATGAACACATGAATACGACTCAGGAAACTGGATCAGATCAAAGAATCAAAGTGTCCTGATCTGGACTGAAACACGGCGTCTAGATGTTTGTTGTTTCCTCACCTGTTGTTCTTTTACCTGCAGACCACAGACATAGACTCCACCCCACAGAAATCAGAGACCACCTCCCCCTCCCCCTCGCCCTCCACCACCTCCGACAACGAGGTCAGTCTCACACAGGTTGCCTGTTTGTCAGTGTGGTATATTACAGTTCATCTGACTGAGTCTCTGTCTGTGACCACAGGAAGTTAAAGCAGCATTAGTCCCAGCGAGCCCCTCCCCCACCTACCAGAGCGCAGCACTGACGACACCAAAGGTATGTGACCGTTTCCCCAGGTGTGATGTTACCTTTGGGGGACTGCAGAATGTGTCTCCCATGTCTTCATCGACATATATGTTTCATGTATGTGTGTTTTCAGCCCAAGGCTCATCAGCTGAGCATCAAGACCTTCTCCAGTCCCACTCAGTGCACACACTGCACCTCACTGATGGTCGGGCTCATCAGACAGGGATATGCCTGTGAAGGTACAGGAACACACACCAACACAACGCTGAGCAGTCACTGTCACCGGCCTGTACTTTGATTGGACGGCAGCAGGACACCACGACTGCATTGGCCTGTACCACCCACTCCAACCTGCTGCCGTCCACCCATGATTCAAGTTTAACTGAAGTGTTTATTTTCTCAGTGAGGATAATCACAGCAACAGCAACCAGGTGTTGTGTCGCATCCAAAGAGAAGGTTCCCTTCAGTCTGTCTCTCCATGTCTCTCTGCAGTGTGTTCCTTCATCTGCCATGTTTCCTGTAAAGACTACGCCCCCCTGGTCTGTCCAATCCCAGCAGAACAGGCTAAGAGGCCTCAGGGCGTCGACGTCCAGAGAGGCATCGGCACCGCCTACAAGGGCTACGTCAGGGTAAGAGCCCCAGGGGGACGTTCTGACAGAGTGGTTCCTCAGTGGTTCCTCAGTAGTTCCAAAGTGGTTCCTCAGTAGCTCCTCAGTGTTTCCTGGTGCTTCAATAGTTCCTCAGAGGTTATTTAGTAGTTCCAAAGTGGTTCCTCAGTGGTTACTCAGTAGTTCCAAAGTGGTTCCTCAGTGGTTCCTGGTGCTACAATAGTTCCTCAGTGGTTCCTCAGTGGTTCCTCAGTGGTTACTCAGTAGTTCCACAGTGGTTCCTCAGTAGTTCCAAAGTGGTTCCTCAGTGGTTCCTCAGTGGTTGCTCAGTAGTTCCAAAGTGGTTCCTCAGTGTTTCCACAGTGGTTCCAAAGTGGTTCCTCAGTGGTTCCTCAGTGGTTCCTCAGTGATTCCACAGTGGTTCCTCAGTAGTTCCAAAGTTGTTCCTCAGTAGTTCCTCAGTGGTTCCTCAGTAGTTCTTCAGTGGTTCCTGGTGCTAGAGTGGTTCCTCAGTGGTTCCTCAGTAGTTCCACAGTGGTTCCTCAGTAGTTCCAAAGTAGTTCCTCAGTGGTTCCTCAGTAGTTCCACAGTGGCTCCTCAGTAGTTCCAAAGTAGTTCCTCAGTGGTTCCTTAGTGGTTCCTCAGTGGTTCCTCAGTAGTTCCAAAGTGGTTCCTCAGTGGTTCCTCAGTAGTTCCATAGTGGTTCCTCAGTAGTTCCAAAGTGGTTCCTCAGTGGTTCCTCAGTAGTTCCACGGTGGTTCCTCAGTAGTTCCTCAGTAGTTCCAAAGTGGTTCCTCAGTAGCTCCTCAGTGGATCCTGGTGCTACAGTAGTTCCTCAGTGGTTCCACAGTAGTTCCTCAGAGGTTCCACAGTGTTCCACTGTGTTCCACAGTACCAGACTCACGTGCTGCTTGCTCTGGCAGATTCCGAAGCCCAGCGGGGTGAAGAAGGGCTGGCAGCGAGCGTTCGCCGTGGTATCTGACTGTAAACTGTTTCTCTACGACGTCCCAGAGGGGAAGTCCACCCAGCCAGGGGTGGTGGCCAGTCTGGTCCTCGACCTCAGGTAACCTGTCCATCTGTCTGTCCACTCACCTCATGTCAGGAAGTCTGAGGCAGTCTCTGGTCTTTTGGGAAAACTCAGGGTTCTTTGAGAAGGTTCTGGTAGTTTTGAAACAATGAGTAGCTTTTGAAAAAGCTTTTCTCACATAAAACAACGGTGGAAGTTGATTCCAATTCATCTCATGTGGTTTTAATAGATGTTTTATGCTGATATGAGAATGATTTTCTTGTGTTTTCTGTCTCAGAGACGAGGAGTTTTCTGTCAGCTCTGTGTTGGCGTCAGATGTGATCCACGCCACCAGGAAAGACATCCCTTGCATTTTCAGGGTAGGACACCTCTTCCCCTCCGAACGCTCCCTGTCTGAACTCTGACTTGTGGTTGTCCTGATTTGTTGTTGTTGTCAAAATTAGGTGACGTCATCGCAGCTGATCTCACAGCTCTCCTCGGTATCGCTGCTGGTCCTGGCGGAGAGCGAGGTGGAGAAGAGGAAGTGGGTCCGGATCCTGGAGGGTCTGCAGAGCATTCTGACCAAGAACCTGCTGAAGAGCCGGCAGGTCCACGTTCTGCATGAGGCCTACGACGCTTCGCTCCCTGTCATCAAGACTACGCTGTCAGCCGCAGTGCTCGGTCAGTGACGCTCATTTACAACCAGATTAGAAAAATTATATGTGTGTGCAATAAAATAAATATTCAATTAAATAAATATATAAAATTAACTTAACTTAAAGGTAGGGTAATGGACGGTTACAACTCGGGGGGGCAGGCCATTTTGTGTCAAACTTGGCAATGATCACACACACAAATGGCCAGGTGGGCAGAGTTTGTTATGTCTGTTTCATCACGTGCCAAAGAGAAAAACTGGGGGCGTCGTGTAGCGTAGTGGTTTAAGCAGGCGCCCCATGTGTAGAGGCTACAGTCCTCGCTGCAGTCGGCCCCGGTTCGAATCCCGCATCGGACGGCCTTTCACTGCATGTCATTCCCCCTCTCTCTGCCTCCCCGTTTCCTGTCACTCTCCACTGTGCTGTCCATTAAAGGCATAAAAGCCCAAAAAAATATACTTTAAAAAAAAAAAGAGAGAAAAACTGGAAGTTTCTTGCAGTGTTCTTCAGTGTTATTTCATATCAGTAATTCACCCTGTGATGTTTCTTCAAGACAAACCGATACAATTGTCTTTGTCCAGTGTTAGCAGCTAGACAACAAGCCTGAATGAGCTTTCAGCTTATTAGCTATTAGCTCGTTTAGAACTTGTATAATTGTCTCTGTCTCAGTGTCTATGTCAGAATATGGTCTTGTGAAAGCTGCTTTTTGGGAACCCAAACGCTGCTAAAGAGTCTTAACTTTCTCGGCTGTAATGACACCCAAGATAAATGTCTTATAAATGTCTCGCTTGATGTGATTAGTTTGGTCTTGCAGACTTTTTGATAACAGGCAGCTCAGCTTGTGTTTCAGTTGCCAGTTTGTCAGATGGATCCTCTTTGATTATGAAGATTTTAACACATTGTCTCTGTTGGCAGATCGAGAGAGGATCGCCCTGGGAACAGAAGATGGACTGTTTGTGATTGAGGTCACCAGAGACGGTGAGACAGACAATTTAATGTTCAGATCAAAAGTTGTGTTTAAACTTTAGGCGACGCAGCAGATACAAAACCTGATACAGAACCGGTATTAGGGTGTTTTTTTACCTAGAGTCCAGTGTCTTTTCTCAGAAACATCATGTCCAATTGTCTCTATGTGGTAGACAAGTAATCTGTCTCTGTTTCCAGTGATTGTGCGAGCAGTCGACAGTAAGAAGGTCTATCAGATCGATTTGATCCCAAAGGATAAAATCATCGCTCTGCTCGGCGGTCGGAACCGTCAGGTTCACCTTCATCCCTGGGGGGTTCTGGACGGAGCGGAGCCTGCCTTTGACTTTAAGCTGACGGATACCAAAGGCTGCCAGGCTCTAACCACAGGGGTGCTCCGACCAGGAGGCCCTGCCTGTCTGCTGGCTGCTGTCAAACGCCAGGTCAGTCTCCTGGAAACCACAGCTGTGGCTCTATGGTTCTGCTTCTGTTTCTATGATTCTAATTCTGTTCTTGTCCTAATGGTCCAGTTCTGCTAACGTTCTTCCAGGTTCAGTGCTACGAGATCACTCCGGTGAGGCCTCACCATAAGCGTTTGTGGGAGGTCCAGGCTCCAGGTGTGGTGCAGTGGTTGGGGATGGTGAGGGAGCGGCTGTGCGTTGGGTATCCGTCGGGCTTCGCTCTTCTGGCCCTGCAGGGCGAGTCGTCCCCCATTAGCCTGGTGAGCCCCGCTGATCCGTCGTTGGCCTTCCTGTCCCAGCAGCCGTTGGACGCCCTGCACGCCCTGGAGGTCGGATCCAGTGAGCTGCTGCTCTGCTTCAGCTCACTTGGCATCTACGTGGACGGACAGGGCCGCCGGTCTCGGACCCAGGAGCTGATGTGGCCCGCCACCCCACTCGCATGTAGTATGTTACTCCTATTGGTACTGATGTCATCATGGAGGAGGAAGTACATGTACCACAGGTCAGACAGGTGAAGCTGGTGGTCAGGTGAGTTCAGATAGGTGAAGCTGGTGGTCAGGTGAGTTCAAAGAGGTGAAGCTGTTGGTCAGGTGAGTTTAGACAGGTGAAGCTGGTGGTCAGGTGAGTTCAAAGAGGTGAAGCTGGTGGTCAGGTGAGTTCAGACAGGTGAAGCTGGTGGTCAGGTGAGTTCAGACAGGTGAAGCTGGTGGTCAGGTGAGTTCAAAGAGGTGAAGCTGGTGGTCAGGTGAGTTTAGACAGGTGAAGCTGGTGGTCAGGTGAGTTCAGACAGGTGAAGCTGGTGGTCAGGTGAGGGCGAGGTGAAGCTGGTAGTCAGGTGAGTTCAGACAGGTGAAGCTGGTGGTCAGGTGAGTTCAGACAGGTGAAGCTGGTGGTCAGGTGAGTTCAGACAGGTGAAGCTGGTGGTCATGTGAGGGCGAGATGATGCTGGTAGTGCGGTGAGTTCAGACAGGTGAAGCTGGTAGTCGGGTGAGGGCGAGATGATGCTGGTAGTGAGGTGAGTTCAGACAGGTGAAGCTGGTAGTCAGGTGAGTTCAGACAGGTAACCAGCAGGTGTACAGTATATGTAAAAGGGTAGACAGGTGTGAAACCTGTCCTTGTCTCTCCAGGTTCTAACTCGTCCCACCTGACGGTCTACAGTGAATACGGAGTTGATGTCTTCGATATTCACACCACAGAGTGGGTTCAGACCATCTCCCTACGCAAGGTAACCAATCACAGCACAGCACAGCCTGGAATCAGCCAGTTACATTGAGGACTAACTGAGGACCTTGTTCTGTCTCTGTCCTCAGATCAGACCTCTGAATGTTGAAGGGACGTTAAACCTGCTGAGTTCAGAACCTCCTCGTCTGATTTACTTCAGCAACACCTCATCAGGTAATGACGACACACCTGAACTTAAACCTCCACACACCTGAACCTGGACCCACAAACTAATGTCTCTCTGTCCGTCTCTACCTCTCTGTCTTCAGAGGGCGACCTCACCATCCCGGAGACGTCGGACCACAGCAGGAAGTTGATGGTTCGAACTCGCAGCAAGAGAAAGTTTCTCTTCAAGGTTCCTGAGGAGGAGCGACTTCAGCAGAGGAGGTGACTCAGCAAAATAAAACATCAATGACTCAGCAAAAAGTTGTGTGTGTGTGTGTGTGTGTGTGTGTGTGCGTGCGTGCGTGCGTGCGTGCGCGTGCGTGCGTGCGTGTGTGTTGTCACGTGCGTTGTCATGTATTTTGTCATGTGTGTGTGTCGTCACGTGTTGTCATGTATTTTGTCATGTGAGTGTGTGTGTGTTGTCATGTATTTTGTCTCGTGTGTGTGTGTGTGTCACGTGCGTTGTCATGTATTTTTTCATGTGAGTGTGTGTATGTGTGTGTCGTCACGTGCGTTGTAATGTGTGTCTTGTGTGTGTGCATGTGTGTGTGTGTTGTCACGTGTGTTATGTGATTGTGTGTATGTGTCGTCACGTGTGTTGTCATGTATTTTGTCATGTGTGTGCGTGTGTCATTATGTGCGTTGTCATGTGAGTCTGTGTGTGTCGTCACGTGTGTTGTCATGTGATTGTGTGTATGTGTCGTCACGTGTTGTCATGTGATTGTGTGTATGTGTCGTCACGTGTGTTGCCATGTATTTTGTCGTGTGTGTGTCGTCACGTGCGTTGTCATGTATTTTGTCATGTGAGTGTGTGTGTGTGTTGTCATGTATTTTGTCTCGTGTGTGTGTGCGTGTGTGTTGTCATGTGTGTTTTGTCACGTGCGTTGTCATGTATTTTGTCATGTGAGTGTGTGTGTTGTCATGTGAGTGTGTGTATGTGTGTGTCGTCACGTGTGTTGTCATGTGTGTGTGTGTCACGCGCGTTGTCATGTATTTTGTCGTGTGAGTGTCGTCGCGTGTGTTGTCATATGATTGTGTGTATGTGTCGTCACGTGTGTTGTCATGTGTGTGTGTGTCACGCGCGTTGTCATGTATTTTGTCGTGTGAGTGTCGTCGCGTGTGTTGTCATATGATTGTGTGTATGTGTCGTCACGTGTGTTGTCATGTGTGTGTGTGTCACGCGCGTTGTCATGTATTTTGTCGTGTGAGTGTCGTCGCGTGTGTTGTCATATGATTGTGTGTATGTGTCGTCACGTGTGTTGTCATGTGTGTGTGTGTCACGCGCGTTGTCATGTATTTTGTCGTGTGAGTGTCGTCGCGTGTGTTGTCATATGATTGTGTGTATGTGTCGTCACGTGTGTTGTCATGTGTGTGTGTGTCACGCGCGTTGTCATGTATTTTGTCGTGTGAGTGTCGTCGCGTGTGTTGTCATATGATTGTGTGTATGTGTCGTCACGTGTGTTGTCATGTGATTGTGTGTGTGTCGTCACGTGTGTTGTCATATGATTGTGTGTATGTGTGTCTTCACGTGTGTTGTCATGTGTGTGTGTGTGTCACGTGCGTTGTCATGTAATTTGTCATGTGAGTGTGTGTGTTGTCATGTATTTTGTCGTGTGTGTGTCGTCACGTGTGTTGTCATGTGATTGTGTGTGTGTGTGTGTGTCGTCACGTGTGTTGTCATGTGATTGTGTGTGTGTGTGTGTCATCACGTGTGTTGTCATGTGATTGTGTGTATGTGTCGTCACGTGTGTTGTCATGTGTGTCTTGTGTGTGTGTCACGTGCGTTGTCATGTATTTTGTCGTGTGTGTGTGTGTCACGTGCGTTGTCATGTATTTTGTCATGTGAGTGTGTGTGTGTGTCGTCACGTGTGTTGTCATGTATTTTGTCATGTGAGTGTGTGTGTGTGTTGTCATGTATTTTGTCTCGTGTGTGTGTCGTTACGTGTGTTGTCATGTGTGTCATGTGAGTGTGTGTGTGTTATGTATTTTGTCGTGTGTGTGTGTGTCGTTACGTGTGTTGTCATGTATTTTGTCGTGTGTGTGTGTGTGTGTCGTTACGTGTTTTGTCATGTGAGTGTGTGTGTGTTGTCATGTATTTTGTCGTGTGTGTGTGTGTGTCTGTGTCGTTACGTGTGTTGTCATGTGTGTCGTGTGTGTGTCGTTACGTGTGTTGTCATATGAGTGTGTGTGTGTGTGTGTTGTCATGTGAGTGTGTGTGTGTTGTCATGTATTTTGTCGTGTGTGTGTGTGTGTGTCGTTACATGTGTTGTCGTGTGTCATGTGAGTGTGTGTGTGTTGTCATGTATTTTGTCGTGTGTGTGTGTGACGTTGCGTGTTTTGTCATGTGAGTGTGTGTGTGTTGTCATGTATTTTGTCGTGTGTGTGTGTGTCGTTACGTGTGTTGTCGTGTGTGTGTGTTGTCATGTGAGATGTGAGTGTGGGTGTGTTGTCATGTATTTTGTCGTGTGTGTGTGTGTCGTTACGTGTGTTGTCGTGTGTGTGTGTTGTCATGTGAGATGTGAGTGTGGGTGTGTTGTCATGTATTTTGTCGTGTGTGTGTGTGTCGTTACGTGTGTTGTCGTGTGTGTGTGTTGTCATGTGAGATGTGAGTGTGGGTGTGTTGTCATGTATTTTGTCGTGTGTGTGTGTGTCGTTACGTGTGTTGTCGTGTGTGTGTGTTGTCATGTGAGATGTGAGTGTGGGTGTGTTGTCATGTATTTTGTCGTGTGTGTGTGTGTCGTTACGTGTGTTGTCGTGTGTGTGTGTTGTCATGTGAGATGTGAGTGTGGGTGTGTTGTCATGTATTTTGTCGTGTGTGTGTGTGTCGTTACGTGTGTTGTCGTGTGTGTGTGTTGTCATGTGAGATGTGAGTGTGGGTGTGTTGTCATGTATTTTGTCGTGTGTGTGTGTGTCGTTACGTGTGTTGTCGTGTGTGTGTGTTGTCATGTGAGATGTGAGTGTGGGTGTGTTGTCATGTATTTTGTCGTGTGTGTGTGTGTCGTTACGTGTGTTGTCGTGTGTGTGTGTGTGTTGTCATGTGAGATGTGAGTGTGTGTGTGTTGTCATGTATTTTGTCGTGTGTGTGTGTGTGTCTGTGTCGTTACGTGTGTTGTCATGTGTGTCGTGTGTGTGTGTGTGTGTCGTTACGTGTGTTGTCATATGAGTGTGTGTGTGTGTGTGTTGTCATGTGTGTCTTGTGTGTGTTTCCAGGGAGATGCTGAGGGACCCGGAGCTCCGGTCAAAGATGATCTCTAACCCGACCAACTTTAATCACGTGGCTCACATGGGACCAGGAGACGGGATGCAGGTCCTCATGGACCTCCCTCTGGTAACTCCTCTTCTTTGTGCTGCCTCCTCCTCATGCCGGCATGTTCTCCTTCCTCACCTCCTCCCCCCTCTGACAGCTCTGTTCATCACACTGACTCCTCCTCTCTTCTCTCCTCCTCTTCCCCCTGTCTCACTTCCCTCACCCCCTCCTCTTCGTCCACCTCCCTTGTTAAGGTTGGTGATGTTGCCTCCCTTTCCCCCTCCCCGTCTCCCTCCCCCTCCTCCTCCTCCCGTCACACCCTCATCTCTCCCCCCTCCAACTTTGAGCACGTCTATCACATGACGTTGGCGTCGGCCGGCGCCTTCTTGCAGAAAGACGCGTCCTCTTCCTCCTCCTCCCAGCAGAGCCTCCTGCAGCCTTCCTCCTCCTCCTCCTCTCCCTCCACCTCCTCTCTGGGAAGGGTAGGCCAGCTTCTCTCTATCTCCCTCACCCCTCTCACCCTCCTCCCCCGTGTTCTCCTCTGGTCTGCAGTGGTCCCTCCTCTTTGTAAACCTTCACCAGGTCACGCTGCGTTCAGGTCAGGTGTCTGATCTGTTGGTCACATGACCGTTAGAATGATGATGTAATGGAACACCTGAATGTACAACAGCCCTGAATACAGCAGTGAGACAGGTGGTCGTCAGGGTAACAGTGTGAAACAGACCAGTCTTACATCATCATCATCATATAAATGAAAGAGCAGTGTTCAGGTGTGTGACCTGTGACATGAACGCAGCGTCAGGTGAGGGCGGGGGTAAAAGGACAGGATTGCCTTTGTTCTTATTCAACCTGGGTTGAATAAGTACTCAGTAACTACATATCCCATGAGTCTTAGCAACAGAAACTGTTCTGTGTTTCTGAGTGGGCGAGGCTTCATACGACCACGGTGGTGGTGGGGGGGTCCTCTGTCAGCCTGTGAATCCTGAGAGTGTGTTCACTGTGTGTGTGTGTGTGTGTGTGTGTGTGTGTGTGTGCGCGCGCGCGCGCGCAGAGTGTGATGCCTTCCTCTCAGGATGACTCTGTCAAAGATAAGCCCCGCCCCCTGTCCAGTATCTCCCGCCACCAGAGAAGCAAGACGCACATCACCCGTACAGCTTCAGGTAAACACACACCTGTATACACAGGTAAACACACACCTGGAGCATAGCTGCAACAGACAGTCACATGAACATGTTCATCATCAGTCTGAACTGATCTGAGGTCTGTCTGATCTGGACCCTGATGAGGAGTCTGAGAGTTATAGTGGACATGCTGCTTATTGTTCACTTCTCCTCCTCTTCTCTTGATGTCAGACTAGAACAGTTGTAGAACCTACAGAACATACAGAACCTATAGAACCTACAGAACCCACAGAAATGAAGGTGAAAACTGTTCAACCTGTCCTCAATGATGTCATCTGTAATCTGTGTTTCTGTTGGTTCAGATTTTGGGGGAGCAGCGTCATCTCGTGGCGTCTCTGAACCAGACCAGGAACTGGACCGAGAGGTAGCAAACACACACAAACACACACAAACACACACACACACACACACACAAGAGAAGATTGAGTGTGTGTGTGTTGTTTCATGTGAGTGTGTGGTGTTGCTGTTTTGTAGTGTGTGTGTGTGTGTCGTTACATGTGTTGTCGTGTTGTCATGTGAGTGTGTGTTGTTGTCATGATATTTTGTCGTGTGTGTAGTTGACGTTGCGTGTTTTGTCAATGTGAGTGTGTGTGTGTTGTCATGTATATTTGTCGTTCGGTGTGGTGTGTGTCTGTGTCGTTACGTGTGTTGTCATGATGTTGTCGTGTGTGTGTTGTATGTTGTGTGTGTGTGTCGATACCGTGTGTTGTCATATGAGTGTGTTGTGTGTGTGTTGTCATGTGTGTCATGTTGAGTGTTGTTGTTTGTCATGTATTTTGTGTTGTGTGTGTGTGTCGTTACGTGTGTTGTCGAAGAGCGGTTGTGTGTGTGTGTTGTTGTCGGTGGTATTGTGAGTGTGTGTGTGTTGTCATGTATTTTTCGTGTGTGTGTGTGTCCCGCATAGTGTGTGTCGTACGATGTGTTGTCATGTGATTGTGATGTATGTGTCGTCACGTGTGTTGTCATGTGTGTCTTGTGTGTGTCACGTGCGTTGTCAGTATTTTGTCGTGTGTGTGTGGTGTGTGTCACGTGCGTTGTCATGTATTTTGTCATGTGAGGTGTTGTGTTGTGCGTCACGTGTGTTGTCATGTATTTTGTCTGTGGAAGTGTGTGTGTTGTGTTGTCATGTATTTTGTCTCGTGTGTGTTCGTTACGTGTGTTGTCATGTGTGGTCATGTGAGTGTGTGTGTGTGTTATGGTATTTTGTCGTCGTTGATGACTGTGTCGTCAACGTGTGTTGTCATGTGATTGTGTGTGTGTGTGTGTGTGTGCGGCACGTTGTTTCAGTCGTAGTATTGAATGTGTGTGTGTGTGTCATCACGTGTGTTGTCATGTGTTGTCATGTGAGTGTGGTGTGTGGTTTATGTTTTTGTCGTAAGTGTGTGTCGTCACGTGTGTTTGTCAATGTTGATTTGTGTGTTGTGTGTGTGTCGTCACGTCGGTGTGTTGTCATAGTGATTGTTGTGTGGTGTGTGTTGTCATCACGTGTGTTGTCATTGTGATGTGTGTATGTGTCGTCACGTGTGTTGTCCATGTGTGTCTTGTGTGTGTGTCACGTGCGTTGTCATGTATTTTGTCGTGTAGTGTTGTGTTCACGTGCAGTTGTCATGTATTTTGTCATGTGAGTGTGTTGCATGTTGTCGTCAACGTGTGTTGTCATGTATTTTGGTCATGTGAGTGTGTGTGTGTGTGGTCATGTATTTTGTCCTCGTGTGTGTGTCGTTACGTTGTGTTGTCATGTGTGTCAGTGAGTGTGTGTTGTGTTATGTATTTTTGTCGTGTGTGTGTGTGTCGTTACGTGTTTGATTCATGTATTTATTTGTCGTGTGTGTGTGTGTGTGTCGTTACGATGTTTTTGTCGTGTGGTGTGTTTGTCATTATTTTGGTCGTGTGTGTGGTGGTGTCTGTGTCGTTACGTGTTGTGTCATGTGTGTCGTGTGTGTGTGTGTGTGTCCGTTACGTGTAGTTGTCATATTGAGTGTGTGTGTGTGTGTTGTTGTCATGTTTGTGTCTTGTGTGTGTTTCCAGGGAGTGCTGAGGGACCGGAGCTCCGGTCAAAGATGATCTCTAACTCCGACCAACATTTAATATCACGTGGCTCACATGGGACGCAGGAGACGGGAATGCAGGTCCTCATGGACCTTCCCTCTGGTAATCCTCTTCTTTTGATGCTGCCTCCTCCTCACTGCCGCATGTTCTTCCTTCCTCACCTCCTCCCCCTCTGACAGCTCCTGTCATCACACTGACTCCTCCTTCTCTTCTCTCCCTCCTCTCCCCTGTCTCACTTCCCTCACCCCTCCTCTTCGTCCACCTCCCTGTTAAGGTTGGTTGATTTGCTCCCTTTCCCCCTCCCCGTCTCCCTCCCCCTCCTCCTCCTCCGTCACACCCTCATCTCTCCCCCTGCGCAACTTTGAGCACGTCTATCACATGACGTTGGCGTCGGCCGGCGCCTTCTTGCAGAAAGACGGCGTCCTCTTCCTCCTTCTCCCAGCAGAGCCTCCTGCAGCCTTCCTCCTCCTCCTCCTCTCCGACCTCCACTCTCTCTTCTGCAGGAGTTAAGGCCCAGCTTTCTCTCTATCTCCCTCACACCCATCTCACCCTCCTCACCCCCTGTCTCCTCTGGTTGCATGTAGTGGCTCCCTCCTCTTTGTAAAACCTTCACCAGGTCCGCTGCGTTCAGGTATCAAGGTGTCTGATCTGTTGGGCACATGACCGTTAGATAGATGATGTACATTGAACACCTGGAATGTACAACAGCCCTGAATACAGCAAGTGAGACAGTGTGGTCGTCAGTGGTAACAGTGTGAAACAGACCAGGTCTTTACATCATCATCAATCATAATAAAATGAAAGAGCAGTGTTCAGGTGTGTGACCTGTACATGAACGCCAGCTGTCCAGTGAGGCGCGGGGTAAAGGGACAAGGATTGCCTTTGTTCTTATTCAACCTGGGTTGAAATAAGTACTCAGTAACTACATATCCCATGAGTCTTAGCACAGAAAAACTGTTCTGTGTTTCTGAGTGGGCGAGGCTTTCATACGACCCAACGGTGCGTGGTTGGGGGGTCCTCTTGTCCAGCCTGTGAATCCTGAGAGTGTGTTCACTGTGTTGTGTGTTGTGTGTGTGTGTGTGTGTGTGTGTGTGTGTGTGATGTTGTGTGTTGTTGTGTGTGGCGCGCTGCGCAGCAGAGTGTGATGCCTTCCTCTCATGGATGACTTCTGTCCAAAGATAAGCCCGCCCCTGTCAGTAATCTCCCCGCACCAGAGAAGAGCAAGACGCACATCACCCCGTACAGCTTCAGGTAAACACACACCTGTATACAGGTAAACACACACCTGGAGCATAGCTGCAACAGACAGTCACATGAACATGTTCATCATCAGTCTGAACTGATCTGAAGGTCTGTCTGATCTGGACCCTGATGAGGAGTCTGAGAGTTATAGTGGACATGCTGCCTTATTGTGTTCACTTCTCCTCCTCTTCTCTTGATGTCAGACTAGAACAGTTGTAGAACCTACAGAACATTACAGAACCTATAGAACCTACAGAACCACCAGAAATGAAGGTGAAAACTGTTCAACCTGTCCTCAATGATGTCATCTGTAATCTGTGTTTCTGTTGGTTCAGATTGTTGGGGGAGCAGCGTCATCTCGTGGCGTCTCTGAACCAGACCAGGAACTGGACCGAGAGGTAGCAAACACACAAACACACACACACACACACACAGTAAGCACACACACACACACAAACACACACACACAACACACACACACACACACACACACACACACACACACACACACACACACACACCACCACACACACACACCACAACAATTAGAGAAACACTCAATTTCAAACACTTTGACAGAGGCTGTCTGATGAACTGA